GTCCCTAAAAAAAAAAAAAAAGAAAGAAAGTATGTCCCTAGCTAATGTCCTTTCCTTCACGAAACACTGATAGCGAGAATCTTTTCGTTGGATGCAAAATAGAGGAAACAGGCAACCTCAAAATTCCTTTTACGACTCGACTCGCACACTCCAGTGTTCTCCTGCGCATCCAGAGTCGTCTGAGGGTAGGAAACAGTGAGGTCACAGCCAGCCAGCAACCACAGAGGAATCTGTAGCACTGAGTTCCCAGAAGGCTTATCTGAAGCCATTAACCCAAGTTTAACTGCACCTGGTCTCTTGGCTCTGCTGTTTGAACTACTTGAAATTTCATTAAAAGGCCAGCAAAGTTTTGTAAGGATGGCAGCTTTTCAAAAGAACCAATCACTTACCAAAACATTAATCACTTGATTTTCAGTGGAAATATTTCTCATAAGAGAGAGAGGTCCTTGGCCAACAATGGCCTCAGTGATGTTTGCCAGGCGGTGAGAAACAAGAGTGTTTCCACTGGATTTTCTTGTGGGGTGCAGTAGGGTTGGTGTTAGAAAAATCCTAAGGTGAAATCGTTTTTTACACCCATTTTTGACAAAAATTCTCTTCTCAGGGATCGTCAAAACATAATCCTAAGTAAGCATTCTGAGAAGGGAAGATTTCAGCAGTTCTTATTTTCCTGAGACGGGAATGGTGGACAGTTAAATGCCCTGCTGGGAGGGCCCAGCACGCCCGTGCCCCAGGCCTCTCTGCCAGGAGCTCTTTTCTCTCACTCACGTAGGACTGGAAGCCGACCACCCTTTCAGGTCTCTATTCAAACGTCACCTTACCAGGGACGCCTCACCTGCCCACCGCATCACACTATGCCTTTTCATCCACGTTAACTCTGCCCTAGCACCTACTCTCAACACCTGGGAGGACAGTGCAGGACCAGGCAGCGTCTCCTTCTGCTGTGCAGTCGTCCTTCTACACCAGCCTTGCTATCAAACATAGGTGATTGCGATCCTGATTAAGCTCAATCACACTTGATACTTGGTCAGTTGATGGTCTTCTAGACCAGTGGTCCTCAACCTTCCTAATGCCTCGACCCTTTAACACTTCCTCATGTGGTGGTGACCCACAACCATAAAATTATTTTCGTTGCTACTTCATAAGTGTAATTTTACTACTGTTATGAATCATAACGTAAATATCTGATATGCAGGATGTATTAGGAAAGAGTCGTTTGACCCCCAAGGGGGTCGCGACCCACAGGTTGAGATCTACTGCTAGACCTGACCTGAATTTGTTCTGGTGCAAGGATCTCTTGCTTGTTCCGCGACAAAAATTTCTTCCCTGGCTTTTAAAATACGGATGGTGGTCTTTTCTTTCCTACTCATTGTGTGTATTTTTAGCTTTATACGACTGTTTTTTCCCTACCACTTTATCCTGGTTTTGCTCTTTATTGTTTCTGTTGGGTCTACCAGTTTGCAAAGCACAGAAGGAGTGCACGCACGGAGATACTAACCAATGCAAGGGTTGATCAGGTGTGGCTGGAGGGGTGGAGGGAGATGGGGAGGGAGGGGGATTTCGGGAATCAACAATGAAGGCAGGAGGGGGAGGGCCGCACACTAGAACTGAATGTGATTGCACAACTAATTTTAAAGATAATTTAATCATGGGGGGGTGGGCACGTTCTGAAATTGATTGTGGTAATAATTGTACAATTCTTCTTGATAAAATTGAATGATTGAATTGTACGATATGTGGGTTACGTGCCAATAAAACTGTAAAAAGAAAGAGAGCAATAGCCTTCAAAATTAGAGAAGCTATGTCCTCCGCCTTGGTAAGGTCACTGTGAGGCACGTATCCTGTAGGCATACTGGTACGTGGACACAGAGGCCCGCATCACAAGGGCAGGTGGATCACTCTGGCAGGGTCTGTCACAGCAAATACTAGAAAAACACTCTACACCTCCTTTGCAGAGGACGAGACTACACCACATGACACGACGTGTGATACTGGTAACTCCGGCCACCCCGGGAAACACCAGGGCACGGCGGGGAAACTGACGAGAGGAAGAGCGGCAGTTAGCGTTCTTGGGCCAGACACTGGTCTAAGGACTTTACACCAACTCTCCTGCCAGCCGCCCAGCCACCCTCTGCTATACGGTGGTTGTGCAGATAAGGATGGGGCGCCAGAGAAGCTAAGCAGCTTACTAAGATCATCCAGACCTAGCAAATGTAGAAGTGAAATACCAGCCAGGTGCGTGAACCCTGGAGCTTGAACCCTCAACCACAATGCTTTGCTGTGAAGCCAGTACATAATGTGGCATGTGCTATTTTGAAATATCAAAGCAGGTGAAGTGGGGGAAGAATCTGCGTAACATAGGATTTGATATGCACGAAAAGCTACATACCCCCAACGGAAGTACAGAGAATGCCCCAGGGGAAGTGTAGGGAGGGTGGGCTGCTGTTTTAGCACAAATTCTTTTGTACTGTCTAATCATGCGCCCTGTGTAATAACGCTCGGTGCACACAGCCCTGGAGAGACAATGGTTTGAAAACTGTAATGGACCCCATCCCTTTAAGGGGGGAGGGGAGACTAAGGCACAGAGCTGGAAAACAGACTTGCCTGAAGCCACCCAAGTAGGAAGGAGGAGCCCAAGGGCCCTGGCCAGGGCTCTGGGCTCCGGGTTCCATAGCCTCCTCTAACCATTCCCACTGCAAGCTGACTCAGCTGTCACAACTGGAGAGTTTCAAAACCTTCAGATTACATAGAATTGGGGGAAATTATGATTTGGAATTCAAGTGTTGACACTTGAAAAATACCAACTCCCTTTCCCTCCAAGTGCTTGAGCATGTGAGGAAGGCTCTCTGGGCACGCCCCCGGAAAGCACACGCCACGCAGCCCTGGAGACGCAGGCTTCTCCGCTGTTTCTGGGAGCTGACACCACAATTTACATTAAACAAATGTTTTGAAAATTAGCTGTTCACGGTTCCAATTTCAGCTCCCCCCAGGGTTTAATGTTCGCCAAATACTGGTACAGTAAGCAGACAATGTGCTTTATTGTGCGGAAGAAAACCAGACCAGCAGAACAGACCCCTGCTTTTGTAATCAAGGGAAAAGTTGAGAGTTGGAGTGGTTATTGGCATATGGTTATTAGAAACCCCAAGTTCCACATATAACTACTAGGAGCTCCACGCACGCACACACAAAATCACCTATATGTCAAGTCCAAAACGAATGAAAAAGAATTCCTGCTGTCTGGTAAGTTGGAAAGTTCAGGGAGGCAAAACTACTAGGGGCAGGCCAGAGGAAACAGGGGACAAGAAAGGTTCAAACGAGGTCTGCCGAGCAGACGGGGGTCTGCTTGAAGGAGGGCAGCAGCCCAGGCCCAGGCCAGAGCAGGGGCTGAGCCAGGCCAGTCACCCTGCCCCAGCTGGTCCCCAGCACTGGGAGCAGAGGCCCCCCTGCAGGCAGCCATGTCCCACAGGCCCATTTTCAAGAACTGATGGCTTTGGCATCTTTTTTCACATTTAAAAAAGGGTCTCACAGCCTTCCTGCGCCGCCCTCTTCCCCCATGGCAAATGCTGAAAGGGGAGAAGAAACTGCTCAAACTGCTCATTTTACAGCTAGCGGGGGTGAGGAAGGGAGTGGGCTGGTGAGCTCTGTGGAGGGTGGTCGTCTGGACATAACTGGCAGGGGTTCCTCAGCACCGGGTTTCCCCACACGAAGCTGGGGGTGCTTTTAGGTAGAAGGGGATTTCAGCTGTTCTTTTAGAGACATGTTTGTTTGCACCCAGAAGGCAAAGGAATCCCGCTGTTTTCAACTCAGAGAAAGGGCCCCAACGAGTGTGGTGGGGAGAAGAGGGTCAGGGGAAAAGTAGGGCTCCCCTATGGGGAGCAGGGGGTTGGGGGAAGAGGAGCAGCTGGCCTGAGGCGGGCCTGGCCTTGGGAGCCCTCTGGCAGAGGGGAGCAGGCAAAGGGCCTGCTGAGTCTGGTCCATGCTCCCTCTTCAGGTCCTGATGAGAGGCTGTGGGCTCCCGTTAGCAAGAACCTCACGACCCAGATTACTCGATCCTGTAAGGAATTTCCCAGGACAGCAGAGTGGTTTCCTAGACATGAGGGAGGTCACCTTTTGCAGCAGGCCAGCAGCAGGACACGTTGGGGGCGTTTTACTAAGACTGAGACCGGGCCATCACGGGGCCAGCCCTTGTTTGTTCATGTGGCCTAAAGGCGCTGTGGACAGCTGATGGGCTAGAGACCAGCACGGGAGGAGCAGAGAAACCGTGTTCCTGTTGCCTTGTCGTCATCAGCTCATGCTCAGACAGGTGAGGACAACTGCCCACCCCCAGGCCTGGGCCTGCTGAGTGGGCTGCTTGCTGCTCCCCATGCTTAAGGGACAGGACCCAGGAGTGGCTGGCCTTCTCCAGACAGGATGACCCAAGGTCACAGTGCTGAGTTTCATCAACCACAAAATAGACCAGAACCTAATCTGTGGACCCAACAGAGCCCAGCAAGCGGAGCCTGAAGAATATACCTGTTCTCCTCAATCGATAGAGGCGACCTTTCAACATCGTAGACTGCCTAGGCCAGCTCTGCTGAAACATGCTCCAAGGGGCCACGTAGTCATGGCAACTCAAAGCCAGTGGGCAGCCAGTGCCTCTGGGCAGGGCTGGAGGGCTGTTCCTCAGCACAGGGACGCTCCCATACACACAGGTCCTTCCCACAATTCGTGCATCTCCCTAGAAGGCCAGGCGTGGGTCTTCCCAGCCTAGGGCTATCTGCCACAGTGCCCTCCCCGGCCCCCAGTGCCTGCCCTTTCTCCTGGCCTTCAGGATGCCAGTCTTCCAACTGTGTGCACACGAGGACTCTCTGCCGATTCTGGCCACTTGAGCTGGACTAACCTAGGTCACCAGCTCCCATACCTACCTCTCCTCTAGACGCCTCCTCCGTCAGCAGGGGACCCTGCCTGATCCCTTCTAGACATTCCTCCCAGCCCTGCTCCACACGCCCCTGTTCACCACGTACCTTGGATTTCCGGGCCCCCTTTTTGCCTCCTGCTTTCTTAGACACGGGTTTCTTCTGGGATGGAGACTTGGCCTTTTTGGCTGGAGGTGGCGTGATGATGGCTTCCAATTTCCCTTTGGATCCTCGCTTCTTGGCTAGCAGCTCGGGGTGGATGTTTGGCAACACCCCCCCACTGGCTATGGTGACTCCCTTCAGCAGCTGGTGAGAAAGCCAAGGGAGCCGATGGTGAGTGGGACCTGACCTTCAAGAAGCCAGCCCTGCCCACCCACAGGCTTGCTTTTGGTGGCACCAGCTCCTTTCTCCAGGGCAGCCATGGGGTGCTGGGGCGCCCCAGGCTCACTGCAGAAGGATCAAGTTTGTGGAACGCTCACTCACATAGAGTTTAGGTAACATCTTTCCTCCAGGAAGAGCCAAATACCTAGTTTCTCCCCATATACACATAACCCCAAGTCTTGAGGTAAAACTACCATAATTTGGGGCCTGGGAAGTCCCAAGTCTGGCTTCCACCTTTGGTAGTCAACCAAACACCAACCTCTCTGGGCAGACAGATAGGTGGATGGGAGGACGCATACCTGATTCAGCTCTTCGTCATTGGCCACTGCCAGCAGGATGTGCCGCGGGGTGACCCGGCCCTTCTTGTTGTCTCTTGCCGCATTGCCAGCCAGCTCTAGGATCTCCGCTGTAAGGAGAGCAAGATATGGTCCCGTGAGAACATAGGGGACACACACATCCTGGTGGCTCTGGGGACGGTTCACAAATCAGCCTAGTGGGAAGCGGTACATGGGTGCTTATGGCAGTTCCCTGGGCTGAATCACAGAGGTGCTGGGTAACAGAGTTGAATCAGAACAGATCCAAGACACCCATGGGTCCAGCCCCTTGATTTTGGAGATGGAGAGACTGAGGCTGAAGGAGGAAAGGAGGCCATGAAGCAAATGGCCCAGCTGAGACTTGAGGCTAGATTGCAGTCTCCAAGAACAGGGCTGCTTGCAGATGTCACCAGGGCCAGCTCTGCAGAGTCCTGGGCAAAACGTGCCCCACAGTGTGGTCCTAAGTGTGGCATTCTGAGCAATGGGTCACGGGCTTACAGGCTTGAAGGCCTGTTCCTGCAAGGGATCTGTGCCAGATGCCTGTCTGTGATGCCTTTCCTGTTGGGCCAAAAGCGTTTACCCTGTTCTGCATTATGTTGTGGGAGCCCTGGTGGCATCGTGGCCATGCTGCCAACCACAGGTCAGCAGTTCGAAACCACCAGCCTCCGCAGGACAAAGATGAGGCTTTTGTTTTGTATATTTTTGCCACAATAAGAAAAAAAAAACACATGAATAACAATAAGTACAAGGGAAAAGAATATGTTCTAGCGTTAAAAAGAAACAAGAAAAAGCGCTACCATCTCGGAAACCCATAGGGGCAGTTCTAACCTGTTCTATAGGGTACCCTTGAATCAGAATTGACTCTCCATGGCATTGAGTTTAGGGTCTGTTTGTTTTGTTGGTTATTTGGCTTTATTTTATGTTGTAAATATTAGGTTCCTCCAGCAGAGAAATCAATATGCAATAACAAAGAAGAACCTGTTGGCGACCTAAGAGTCAGGGATCTGAGATTCACGAAGTGCCCTGGCCTACATTCTGAAGCAGCTATGAAGCTACGAACAGCTGGACCCAATGCAGCAACTGCTGTGTGCATCAGAGCTGGCCCTGCAGACTCTCCTACTGGCAGGGCCGGGTGCTGTGTGCGTCAGACAGCAGGCTTCCCCTCCTCAGTCCAATGTAAGCTGTTGGCCAGTTCCTGTCGTGTACAGCCAGCCCCTGTGACAGGAGAAGTACCTACAGGGTTTCCTGGGCTGCAGTCTGCTCAGGAGCAGATGGCCAGGGCAGGCTCTCAGGGAGCTGATGGGGGGGGGGGGGGGGTTTCCGACCCCCCACCTTGAGATTAGCAGCCCCGCACTGAGCCATGATGACTCCACAGTGCCAACGCAGGGATTCATTGACTCAGCTACCATCACCTGCTAACGCACGCAGTTCCCAGAGGTTAAGCCCTCAGCCACGCAGGGCACAGGAAGAAGATATGACCATCGGCTTCCAGGACAACGTGTAGTCTGGGACTCCCTAGGGGCAGTGCTACTCTGCAGAGTCAGAATGGATTTGACAGTGGTGGGCTTGGGGTTTGGTTTGAATGACACATAAGACCCCGCCCTCACGCACCAGGTGCCCGGACCAGCAGGGAGCCCACAGCAGGACTATACTTGCTGGGGCTCAGAGGACACAAGGTCATCCACGTTGGAGGGCACTGAGTGAGGCCCAAGTGAGAGGAAAGTGAAACAGTATTTCAATGGGGCAGGTAAGGATAGGGGCTCCTGCTTCTTCACCTAACTGCCTCCGCAGGGCTGGCCCTGCCCCAGCGCAGAACCGTTCAGGTGAGCTGTGGTTGGGAAGAGGCCTTCCCAAGTCATGAATGCGATCACTGACTGGTCCTGGTTGTGTGCCCCAATGCCCATCAGGACACACCGTCTCTTCCTGAGAGAGAACTGTGCAGGGACAAACAGACCCCGGATGCTGCCTGACCAGCCCACATTCTCAAAGCAAGCAGCATACCACACAGCTGTGGCCCGGGCCCCAGAGCAAGAGTCTGAGCCCCAGGGTGTCCACAGCTGTCCTGGGTTTGGGAACCCATGCTGCAGGAGGGAGCAGGACACACTGCCGCCTCTCCTGCCACTCTGAGGCCACAGGGAAGCATAAGACTCTTTGTTTACAAGGAGGAACAACAAAAGTCCATGGGAAAAAAAACTCCATTGCCTTTCAGTTCTATTTTTCCATGAACTTTTGCAAGCTCCCTCGTGCAACAGCAGGCTTTGCTAGGATGTGCTTAAGAATGCTTCACCTGCTCGTTTCAGACAGACAGACCAGCAGAACATGAACTGCTTATAGACAGGCAGAGACAACAGGAACACACCTAGCCCCATCAGTGGAGACCTGCTCTGCTAAGTGCAAGCCCACACTTTTGGGTAAGAAATCTGTTTGAAATGGCAGTTCTTAGTGTTTTGTTCAGGAAGCAGAGGAGCCTCCTCTTCCTGCCCAGGGTGTGGGCGACAGGTTCCCCATGAGAAGGCCTAGCAGCCGGTGGAGGAGGGGGTTGAGAGCACCTTTTCATTTTCTGCAGGGCTACCCCAGCTTTTTTTTTAACATGGAAAGTAGTGGTGAAGGAGGCAGACCCTTGGAGTACAGGGCCCCTAAACTCTGAGTGTGTGCATCCCTGACACGAATGAGGGGCAGGGCGTGCGGGCAACAAGAAGATAAAGTGGTGAAGTGACAGGTTAGTCCTCTTGACGAGCATCTGCACACCTGCCCCCGCAGGGCCTAGGGGAGTTCACCTGACTCCCAAGAGCTTTTCCCCTAGCTTTCACTGGGTGGCACAACTTCAGCAGCCTCAGTTTCTCCACGTGGGGAATTCCCAGCACTGTGATCACTCACTTCAAATCCCCTTCAGCTTCTAGGACGCGAAACTGGATCCACCTGGAAGTGGCGATGCCGGGTCTGGCATGGCAGTGCCGGGTCTGGGGAGATGGGTGCAGAGACTGAGCTGGGGTGGGGGGTGCCAGCTCCTTGATGCCTATCAGTGCACCTCCGATCTGCTGAGACCTAGATAATGCCTGTCCCTCGCTTTCCCACCCTGCCTCTCAAGAAGGAGGCCTCCTCGGTGCCCTGCCCCCAGGGAGGGTGCTATGTCAATGTCAAGTCAGGATAACAAAGAAGGGCCAGGAGTCGCACTTCAGCTCGCTGAAGGAGAGCTTTATCTGCGGTTTACACTGGCAGCGTTTCTTCCAGATGGATAGTTACCATAGCAACCGCACCGTCCAGGGACAACACACAAGACTGAGCACCTCCGAGACACACCTTTATGAGAAAGGAGTCCCAGGCTGCACCCGGCTCCTCCCTGCGCTGCAGCAGGCAGAGGGCAGGCCGTTTCCCAACAGCCTGGCAAGATGCGGGTCCCACTCTGGCCGCTGACCAAAGCAGGAGCCCAGAACAGGGATTCCGGCCTGCCTTTCCCCCTCCTCCTCCTCTGGGCTTTAGAAACAGCAGTTGGGAAAAGAGGGCTGCCTGCCTCATAGGACACAAAGTGGCAGCAATCAATCGGGCAAGAGGCAACACTTCCCACCTGCTCCCCAGGGAGTGTTGGGTGAGGTGGGCGTGTTGGGTGACTGACTGCTCAGGAATTAGGGCAGGGCACACAGCGATACCAGAGATTTCCCGATCCGGCTCTCTGAGTCAATGACTCTGGGCCTTGCCAATGGTGTCTGCTCCCTCCCGAGGCAGAGCACCCAGGGAGATCCGGGCTCGGGGCTGGACCTCCATCCCTGGCCGCTCCAGCCCCGGACAGCCTGATGGCCCCACATCACCTGACCAGCCAGCCCCACAGGAACCCCGGGGCCTCGGCAAAGGAGCACTGCCTGAGTTAAACCAGGGAGGCTTCCTACCCCTGTAAAGAGGTCCAGCCTCGGAAACCTCGGGGGAGTCTGCCCTGTCCTCTGAGGAGTGTGGTTTCGTTTGAAGCTGTGGCCATTGCCTCAGCTTGCATGGAGGCTGCGCCTTCATACAAGAGTGGTTTTCCTGAATTTAATTCATGTTGGACGAGTCTCAGAGACGCCCTGGGGCAGTTCCATCCTGCCTTCCAGGGTGGCTATGCGTCGGCACCGACGCCACAGCAGGGAGTTCTGAGCAGCTCTTTGAAACGTCCGCCCACACAGGCACACCTTGGCAAGCTGCATCGACTCCTACTGCAGAGAAGTGAGGTCCACCGTGGTTTGGGTTTCCCGGTGCAGATAAAAGCGATGCTTGCACAACAGTCAGTCTATTGCATGTGCGATCGCATTAGGAGAAAGGGTGACATGGTGAGAAGGATCCGGTGAGGCGCAGCGCCCACAGCACGAGCAAGGCCTGTCGCTGTCTTTGGTGAGAAGGCCTTTCGAGGAGAGCCAGGAAGGCTCGACCCACAGACGCAAACTGCCCTCGGAGGGAGTGCTCAGGAGGCACAGCCCTGGAGGTGGTGACCACAGCAACGAGCTCCGTAAGGAACCCGGGGAAAGAACAATCAGGAGGAGAAGAAAGAGGACCCCTAATGGGGCTCACCACTCCCTACAGCCAGGGCTTCTTGGCCAAGGGCAGTCTGATTTCTGTTACTGCCAGCCCCTAATGCTGGGCTGGTGTGGAAGTGGCAAGCACTTGGGGGTCAGCTCTGGAGAGGCCTGGAGCATGACAAGGCTCCCATGATAAACCTTGCAGAGGGGGCACGCTGAATGACAAGTGACAAAGGCCAGCTTATTAGCTGTTTTTTGTTGTTGTTGTTTTAAAGTTTCATTTGCAAAACACCCAAGGTGTCTGGCTCCCAATCCTGGCTGGGGCCAGTCTTGGGCGACTGGGAAGCTGCTGGCTCCTCAGTTCTGAGTGGCCTGACCAGCAGAGCCACCTCCCTCTCTCCTCAGAGGAGCAAGCACCACAGATGCACCCCTGGGCCAAGTGCTCCCCAGACTCATTGAACCTGCTCTTTTCAGGGCCACTTGACTTGATCCCCACAGCCCAGAGGGATGGCCCCAGTCCTGGCCTCTGCTATCTATAGAACAGCTGTCTGAATGAGAACCCCTTCCACCGGTCTACTTTTCAAGTTCACCCAAAGACCAAAGGCTTG